AGTTATCACTGCGCATATCTGCGCATCTGAACTGATTACAGCGACAGTTAAACAACCGACTAAAGACTGTTTAACCTGGTTGTTGCCCTTCACAACGAGGGAGACCTTGAGGACCAGATAGCGCCCCAAATACCCGCGTTATTTGGGGTTCCTCTGGCGGCGTGGGAGGTGCATTTCGTCGGCTGACGAGGGAGAGAGAGGACGAGGAGCTGCGTGACGCCTGCTGCAGGATTCCGGAGTTGCGGTATCATTGCACGTGGAATTGAGGTATCTTTGTTTGAATTGTTTTGTGCTCAGGAGAGTGAAGGGGCCATTTGTCAGTTTCCCGGCCACCACGAACACGAGCCACGTTTCAGGCCTGCAACGGGGTGGGGTTGAGTCAATGACTGGTGTGTGTGTGTGTGTGGGCCCACCGCATTAAATATTGGTACATTCTAGTATTATTCAGTGCACTGAACATGTAATTGTTTATATTCAGAGTATATTTGGTATAATTTGTGAGTTATTGTATACATTTATCCCATTGAGGTCATTGGTTTAAGATATACTGATTCTATTGGACCTGTATACTAATTTCAGTAGGTCGGGCATCTGAGAAATTGTCCTTCGAGGATTAAATTGTGTCCCATTTAATGTGAATGTGATTGTGGGAACACTTCACATTCTGAAACTCATTGTTTGAGCCAGTTAACATTTGATCATTCTATTACAATTAAATCCTTTATTTGTTTTGTACTTTTACCAGTGTGTTATTCTTTCAGAAGTGTTTGTTGACTTCATCAGTTTGGGGGCGTAGAGATTTAATTCTGAGTAACTTCGTAAAAGGAAAGTATAGATTATTATTCTAATTTTCTAAAAGAGAATTAATTCATTTAGTGACACCAGAGGGGCCTAACTTCAACATCTGTAGGCATATAGTTAATGAATCTGGAGCGCTGTCCTACTTAATTACAAGAAAGACAGGTAGGGGGCGCTACATAAGCATATGAGATACGTGTCAATATAGTATATGGTCAGAAAATCACTGTCAGGGCAGCATTTCAAACAGACAAAAAGGACAATGTCACCCTTAAAAGCCAAGCCAAAAGAGGACATATCAGCACACAAGATTCAGCCTTTCACACCAACAGGCAGACAGGCGGTTAGTGTCCAGCATTTTTGTGCCTGGTTGTCTTTGAGCCTGGTCAACTTTGCTGCAACTGTCCCAAAGCATGATGATCCGAGACTTGAGGCTGCAGCACCAGACAGCAGCAGCTACAGTGCACGGGGTGGGGTCTGAAAATGTTGCCACTCAATTTTTTCTCTGCCACTTATGAAATTGTTACAGAACACTTCAGAATTGTAAACACTGAGTCAGTGGTACCTGACAGTAGAAACACTGGATATAGGATGCATAAACAATCACTGACTATTCTTGATTTAATTTTATATTAAACTTAAGCTCAAATATTTCATGTACAATAACTGTATATTTAGTTACACTGTGCAACAATATCTCCTACTGTATTCATCCATCTTTCAAGGCAATATTTTTAGATCTGTTTCTGTAGTATAACACACAGTAATTATTATGTTCAATTTTTATTTACAGCATATCTGCATGAAAGGTATAGCCTACATAGCTGTTTTTTTATTTTTATTTTATGTATATATTTTTATCTATCACTCTTGTATCTGCACTTGTTGAATCTTAAGCTGATGTGGCCAGCAAAGTTTATCTTTGCTTCTGAAAAATATCTGCATTGGTGGCAGGGGACTTGGAAGTTTTACATTTACCCTGTATTTGATAGGTGTGAGGTGCTAACCTAACCCTAACCCTATACATTAATGGTAAAGTAATGTAGATATATTGGATAGTTGCTTTTATTTACTATAAAACAATGTTTATATAAAGTGAACTCCTTGAATTAAAAGTATGTAGATATATTGGATAGTTGCGTTTAATTACTATAAAAGTAAGTTTATTCAAAGTAAACCTATACATTAATGTGAAAAGTACGTGTTTTACATCTAAAAATCTGTACTTTGACGGGGAGTTCTTGTGGATGTAATTGATAATGTTATGAATTTACCAAAGAATACTGTGTAAAAACAGAAGACTTCTTTAATTTTATAATTGTAAGGTATTCCTGCAATAATTTCCAGTTTATATGCAGATTTATTCATTTGTTTAATGTTCTACAGACATTTTTTTAATGAGATTTTCTTTTCATTCTACAGTAGTGGAACTGTAAAAATACAGAAAATGTTTACAGTAAATATCTGTATTTTAAAAAACAGAATTATTCCGTAGAATAACAAAGTTTTTTACTGTAATTTGACGGTAAGTGTTTGGCAACTTTGCTGCCAGACTTTTTACCGTTTTTTTACGATTGTTTTTTTACATGTATTTACCTTAAATGTAAGGTTTCACAGTAAAAAAACACATAGTTGTCTTAATTTTAAATAAGCGATTTTTTTTGTCCTTTTACATACAATTTAATGTAATTTAACATTCAAGCCAATTAAACAAAAGAATAATCCTGTAAAAAAACTATAATTTCTCCTTATATGAATTTACAGATTATTACTTTTATTTTATGGTTAATGTTTTTAATAAAAGTTTTTTTCTGTATTTTAATGACATTTACACGTAATGTTAAAAAAAACAGAAAATATCCGTAAAATAAAACAGTATATTTCTGTGAAAAAACTTTTTTTTTTTACAGTGTGGCTTTTAAGGAGATTGGACACAGATGGACGGTTGGTTTATTTGATGGGACACTGCTGAAGGCAGGGCAGCCTGAGGTTACGGTGACATCTCCCACTGAAGCTTGAAGCCTCCCATATGGTCCAATGAGACGAATCCAAGACAGTTCTCAAAGATAAGATGGAAACAAAAATCTCATCTTTCATTCATTACAACTTAATCAAGGAATAAGTTCCAAGAATAATGTTAACTTAGACTGCATCAGTTGTATAAGACGAGAAAATGTTCATGCAGTTTTTTTCCTTCTGAGACTTTTTCAATCTGTTTTCTTGGCTGGTGTTTTTGGACACAGCTGGCACTCCTCAGATCTGAGAGGAGACTCAGGAGAACTGTTATTTGAAGAGGATTCATTTATTCTTTCTGTTCCCATGATATGTGTGATTTCTGAGCTCTGTCTTTTCTCAGGCTTTTATTAACGGCAACTGTTTTTCCATGATTGATGAGCAATTCCTTTGATCAGAGGACTTTTTTAAAACCTATAGTTATAATATGTTGTGTGTGTATATATGTGAATATAAAAACTACCGTAATCAATTATACTGCATAGTAACTTTACAGTATTTTAAAATACAGTGCAAAAACAAGAACTGTAATTAATTTTACAGTATAAATATACTGTAAGTTATTATACAGTATGCTGTGAACTACTGTAGTCAGATTTACAGCAATTTTACCGTGGAATAAAATACTGAAGCTTGCTGGATATTTGTTGCCAGTAAGTTACTGTTGATTTTACGTTAAATTTGTTACAGTGTAAATGAACCAGAACAATTGATTCTACAACAATTGACAACTGCAGGAATTATTAAAAACCTGCAGGTCTGAAATGTGTGATGCATTGTTTGAAAAATGTTAAACATATCCCTAACAGCTTCGTTCGCATTAAATTAAATAGAGCATCAACCACAAATAAGGTTCATTAGGCCCTCATATTACTGATATATTTTCACTTTGAACACATTAAAGAGCAAATCGGCTTTAGCGATTCAGAAAAGGAACCGCAGGACATGATACCAAGTAAAAAAGAAGTAAATGTCTCAAAATAATATTTCGCCCTGCCTATTTTGGTTTACATCCCTTTACCTCACTTCACGCCAAGGCAAAGATCTCATCAGTTACGTAAGGACGGCGCAAAGAGTGGATTAATGAAGTCCACTTGTCCTCCTTTGTGTTTCGACCTTACAGCTCCAATTAGCTTTGCCTTATGCTCAGTGATTGGTTTAAAACCTCCACTGATAACATGGAACTAAATAAGTGTAAAGATGTGTCACAAATAGGTGTGTTTAAACTTTATTGAATCAGACTTTTTTGTTTCATAAAATAATGTTTTCAATTTTTATGCAACTAAAATATCTCAAATATAGATATTTTCAAATTTTGACAAATATAGTCAAAACAAACATAAACAAATATTGTCAGGTGCAATGTACAGTAGAAATTCCATCTTGCAGTCTGAAGGATTTTCATGCACAGACCAATAAAAACAATAAGAAATAAATATTGCATATAGATTTAGCTTTTCATGGGGTCAGTTTAGTGCCTGCTTTTATAAAGTACACAATAAGTGCTTTCCCTGAAACACAAAAAGATAATGTAAAGAACAAATAAATAAAATTTCATTTCAAACAATTGCATAAGCAAAGAGGAATGATAAATGTTGTGTCCTTTTGTCTGTATGATAAAATCCTTAAACTATTAAAGTGCAAAGTAAACAGTCAAACTGCTATGATGTGACTTTTAAATTCACCTGTAGAATATTGGAGTCCAATTCGAACAAATGAAAATAACAGGAAAGAGACAAATACTCTACCATTCAAAAGTTTGTGGTAAGAATTTTTTTTGAAAGGAATGAATACTTTTATTCAGCGAGGATGCATTAAATTAATCAAAAGTGACATTAAAGGCAAATAAATGCTGTTCTTTTGAACGTTTTATCTATAAAAGAATCCTAGAAAAATGGTTTACACCAAAATATTAAGCTGTTTTTAACATTGATAATATTAAGAAATTATACTTGAGCAGCGAATCAGCAAAATCTTACTGACCCCAAACTTTTGAACAGGAGTGTAGCTTTTAAATTCTTTTGTAAAATTGTCTATTAAAATAAATAATGATGCAATAGCAAACTCATATGAGTAGAATGGGCTTAGAGAAGAAGACCTGAATACATAAGAAATGAAACAAAGAGGTTAAAATGTTTAAAATGGATGTTAATATATTAGGCCTACTTGTTGGAGAGGCATTAATCGAGGTTATATGGATGAATCAAATGTCTTTAGACTGCATTACGCTGCCATACATCCATTTAAAACATGGGAATAATATCCATAGAAACATGATCCATTTCCCTTTTACCTCTTATTAGCGGGTTTGACAGATCTATGGCAGACAAATCTAAGAGCATCATGGCAATCTGTTGGCAGTTTACTCATTTTTTTACTTTTTTCTTGGCTTCTTTTTCCGCTTTCTCTTGTTCTGATTTTTTCTTCTCTTTTTTCTTCTCCTCTTTAGCTTCCTTGTACTTCCATATCGGTGGCTCTAAGTAACCTTTGGTTCGCCTCTTCTTCTTCTCCTTTTTGGGTGTTGGCTCTCCAGACTTGGTCACTTGAACTTGGGGGATGCAGCCGGAGGGGAACACACTATTGCGGCGGGCCATGCTGCGCGGGACGAACTTGCGGACGCCATTGGAGGCCATTGAGAGCACGCTGCCTCTCCGTTCGGCGTCGGAACAGCATGAGACCAGCGAGGCAGAGGTAGACGCGACAGAAAGGGAGCCGTTGCTATGCTGTATCGTGTGTTCCTCAAGCTTTTTCCCCTTGTGCATCTGCATCAGTTCAGGCACAGCCAGGCGTCTCTTGCCGATCTCCGGCGGGCTCGAGGGGCACAATGGACGGCATCCGGTGACCACCAAGGGACTGTGGAAGCTTGTGGTCATACGCACCATATGGTCCAAGATGCCATTGTCCTGGGGGTCATGTGGAAAACTAAAAGTGAACCTGGACTTCAGGCAATGGGCGACCTTCTGTCCTTTGCTTTTTGTGGCTGTGGCCTTGGCCACCAGCTCCTTCAGGTCAGGCCACTCTGGGACATATTTTTCACAGAATTGTTCAGCCTGAGGTCTGCCGTTCAGTCGTCTAAGCTTGTATAATGTGTCAAAGCGACCTGTCTGCAGAGCCCATTCTCGTATATTCTTCCCCCTTGTGGCGTCCACAACATTTATGTCGGCCCCTAGCAAAAGAGAGACATGAAGGAGATGTAAACCATGATGATATTACAAATTGTCCCTCAATGCTTAGACACTGGCATTATTTTAGCCAAATATCCGAAAGCATATCAAATATATATTTTTTTCAAAACCTTTTTAAACACATATTCAGCATTTTATAGCACATTCTCATGCACAAATCCACATAAGTATATTTCGATTTTTTTGTGATTAGATATTACATGCAAATTAACAATTTATAGGAAAAAAAACAACAAATAGGATTCGTTAAAAATGGATTTTTTTTAATTTTTAAAAAATGTATATTTTTTTAAAGACATCTTAGTAAGAGATCATGCTCATTTTGGTTAAAAAAAACTAAGAAAGTTTAGTCTAAGTAAAGTGTTTTAATGTTTGAATCTGTGGCTATGGTTGCTCTGGTAAGAAATGCATAAATGTGGAAACAATGTATTGGTTGTTGACTAGAAAAATATTAGCAGTTGGTGTTGCCCCATCGAGTGGCAACTTTGGGTATAACATCAATATCTTGTCTTGCATTTGCATTTTTTAAAATAATTATTTTAATTTTCTGAAACAATCAGATGAATCATCCTAAGTGTGAAAGAAAAGTCGTTAACTTTGTTCAAGCAGAGCAAAACATTTACAAGATTTTTTAGTAAGAGACATTTTTTTTAAATTATTTTACAAGATTAAATTATGTATAAGGATAATTTAACATATTATTATTATTAGCTTGTCCAACTTAGGTTATATAACTAGTATTTACCTATCAACTGTCCTTTTTCATAACAATGCAATACAATTAAAAGACCAAAACACAGGCAATAACATTTTTTATTTCAAAGATTGTTAAATTGATTGTATTTAGATAAGTGAAAGACACTGACTTTTTGACAGTTGACTACGTGCAATGTAGGTGTCTTAAATTGTAACTGGTCTAAATAATCACAGTTGTTAAGTGCACATATGGCTAATCCATTACTCGCCATCAGGGCTAATAATCCAAGGGATCAGAAAAGAAAATGTCCTCAGGTTTGTCTTTTAAACCTGCTCAAGTTTACGTCATATGTCACCAAATCACTGTGCTTTTTTTTTTTTTATCTACCGGTACTCCACTTCATTTTCTGTAGGCACACTTCTAACTACTATGTATGTGGCATTTTGACTACATATTCCTAGCATCCTGGTTAGAGTTTACAGCTGGGTCCAAAAGTCACATTATAAGTCAAGTTACAATTTTTGATACTTACAAATGTCCAGTACCAGAAATGTATAGTTCTTTTTTACATTTTCACTGATCTTATTATGATGATAACATTATTTTAAATACAAAAAAAAATTGCAAAACCACAGCATTTGGTTTCAGACTTTTGTAACTTACAACATTTTGACGTGTAAAATAAATGTATCATTCTCTTATAAAAAATATTATATACAACTGTTTATAAAGTATAGCATACACAACTGAGTGTAAAAATGTCATAACACTTGTTTGATGTGTTATGTATGTTTTGTTTTGCATTGTGTTTTAACCATTACATATATGTCAACAGTATGCGACTACACCTATTTTTATAGATTGCTCTTCGTTGTGGATGTTCTGGGATGAAACAGAAACAGCATCCCATGGTTTCCAATATTATGCAACCATTCACGTCATCCAAACTGCCTAAAGAAAGCTGGTAGGAACTCAACCTATCTGACCTGGTCAGTTTGTAAACTATCCTAAAATAACGTACCAGCCATGAGCAGTGATGCCACACAGTCATCGCTGCCCTGCATGACAGCCTTGAGGAGTGCGGTGAAGCCTCGGTTGTCCCGGATATCCATGTCCACCCCAGAGAAGTAATTTAGGATGTAGGTGAGGATGGTTACGAAACCTGCAATATTTATAGATTTAATAAATAAGTTTAGCGTAGAAACAATTTACATTTAGAAATTTGCTAGTAAATTTCACAAATAATTAAGGATCAGGAAGTAACACATTGAATAAAATGTTCAATTTTAAAGTAGAAAGACTAAAACTCCTATACTCTTTGTTTTATTTACAACTTCGAAAAATAATTATGAATTATCCTTGCCTAGCTAACAAAAATATGTTCTAAGATGTTTTGCTAACGTTCCCTTCCCATTAAGTTATACAATTTTTATTTTTGAATGTTTTCTGAACGTTTAAAAAACGTTTTCTCTTGTCATGCAAAATGAATATCCAATTTGAAAATTTTACAAACATTATGAGAACGTTTCGGAATGTTCAGAAAGCATTCAAAAGTAACAAATATAACATTTAAAAAAAACATAGATGAATGTTCAACTAAACGTTTTAGGAAAAAAAAAAAACATTCTATGAAATATGTTTTTGTGCTGATGTTTTTGTGCAGAACTTTGACCGAATGTTCTATTGGCGTTACTGGAAGAATGTTTGTTCATAACTTTGAAAGAACCTTATCAGAACGTTAGCCAAAGTTCTGAGAACGTTTCTCGTTAGCTGGGTCATATTTCTTTGTGTTTAATGTGTTATTAAAGATCCTACCAGCCTGTGCAGCGATCATGAGTGCAGTGTTGCCATCATTATCCTGATGATTGATATCCAGAAATGGGCATTGGTTGAGTCCATACACAATATCCACAAAGCCTTTTGAGACGGCCAACATCAGACCGTTCTATCAGAAAACAAGAAGAGGATTTGTCAGCATATACAAAGATGTAAACCATCTCTTCTGCCAAATTTCTGCTATGCGAATGATGCTTTGTGAGTAAAAAGGTTATCTCACTGCCTACCCTGCCGTTTATGTCAAGTTCCATGACTTCGTCTCTTGTAGCACCCCTCTCCAAAACTCTGCGTAGGGCTGCCGCATTGTTCTTGGCACAGGCTTGGTACAAGGTGTTGGCCGGGCCTCCACTGGCATCTTCCCGCTCATAGTTAGGGAGCACGGAGTCATCTGACAGCACACTCCCAGAATCTGAATCATTCTCAGAAACTGACAACTCAGAGGCATCCTCATCTGGACCAGAGCCCAGATTTGGATCCTCCTGCACGGTGACTTTAACCTCAGCCATCTGGCCAGCACGAGCCAGGACTCACACGCTCAGCAGGCACTTCATCATCATCTGTGTCCTCGCTGCTCCCTCCCTGGAATCTAGGGTGCAAAGATATAGATAAAGTTTAAGATGAAACCCCAACACACCACGTATGAGTATGACAAGTTTACATAGGCAAGTGCCATAGTAGGAAATAATAGCTAAAACAAAGTAAAAAAAACTGTCCTGTTTGTTTGCCTGCTATCTTAAAATTACTTAAACATTAAAAAAATCTAATTTAGTTGAGGACAAACAATCAGTATCAAAATTAGCATTTTTGTCACACCATTAAAAGTATCCTTAGAACAACTTAAATTTACTTGAAAAGCAAAAAGATATTAATCCTTCTATTAGAGAATATATCTTTAATTAAGTTTATACTTCTTGCCGATTTTTTTAATAGTTTTAAAGGGTTAGTTCACCCAAAAATGAAAATTCTCTCAGTAATTACTCACCCTCATGTTGTTCCAAAGACTTTCGTTCATCTTCGGAACACAAATTAAGATATTTTTGATTAAATCTGAGAGCTGAATCACTCCTCCATAGGGTTCTCTGTAATTGAAACTTTGTTGGCCCAGAAAAGTTAGTGAAGACAATGTTTAAAATAGTCCAAGCGACTACAGTGGCTCAACCATAAGTTTATCAAGCGAGAATACTTTTTGTGCGCAAACCCCCCCCCCAAAAAATAACGACTTTATTCAACTATTAATTTTCTTCTCCAAGCCTCTGAGTGAGTTCACATAGTGTAACAGCGCAGCGCTTCTGGGTTGTACGTCGGAACGTAGGCTCACTATTGGCCAGCATCACACACATGACCAGCGTCGGCCAACGGTGAGCCTATACGTTCTGACGTACAACCCAGAAGTGCTGCGCTGTTACACTATGTGAACTCACTATTTTATGGAGGAGTGAGACGGCTCTCAGATTTAATCAAAAATATCTTAATTTGTGTTCCGAAGATGAACGAAAGTCTTACGGTGTTGGAACAACATGAGGGTGAGTAATTACTGAGAGAATTTTTCATTTTCAACTAACCCTTTAAGCATAAATTTAAATAATGACCATCAATCTTTCTTCCAAAACGTGTTTTTGCCTTACACTGATTCACTATTGTAAGTGTTTATATTTTAGAAATGACGGGATGGTTTTTCACGGGAAATTGCGTACATATAGGCCACACGTCCGTGAGTGTCTTGTCATATCCGTAAAGAGAAAAACTGTATGCCATGCAGGTTTGTTTTTTTAACCGCTAGAGTTACCTAGTGTACCTTTAACTAAATATAACAAGTTTTATGCTTAAAGTAAGGGGGGGGGGGGGGGGGGGAATGGGACATCTTGCAATGCCTTCCATTACGCCCCTCAAGTGAAGTTTGAAGAAAAAAATTATCTGGTAATGGTAACGTGTACACAAAACTTTTCCCTTACACACGTACAAGTTTTTCATGCATGCATACTTTTTTGCAGGGTAGTGTTGTGGATAGCCATATTTGTAGTCATTTGTGGCCCTTTAGGATTTAAATTAATGAAGAGTCTCACCTGAGGTGAACATTGTTGTGATTGACAGACAGTAATATGCACAACTTCACTCAACTGTACTGTAACACAATAGCTATGTCTATGAGGCTATTTATTACAGGAGAACATAGTTATTAATTATTTTGACTGAAGGCGGAACTTACGAAGCAAAACATTTAAGCAACATGATGAATGTGAATGAGAAGGAACCTATGAACTTTTGTTCAGGCTTTCTGAAAATATTCAAAGGAATGTTGAAAACAAGGTCAGTAAGTGTACGCCAAACTAAACTGCAAAATGAGGAACCATTTCACAAGTCAAGCATACACACTGATATTCTCTGTCTTTAATTTCTAATATTGTTGCCATTCTGTAAATGGTTTGGACAGAGCATATTGTGCTAATTGCTCAGGAGATCAGAATCAGTTAGTCAAACTTCCACCTCATGAGTAATTTGTCTGCTTATATATGATACTTTTGATTAATCAAAATCATAAGATCATTCCCACTTTCAAACCTCCAGGAGCAAGCCATAGAGCACTTAACCTCAGGTTACAAATGTAAGTCTCTGATAAAAGCATTTTCGGCTACTTTTCTCCCGTTTTTTCTATAGAAAGAGAAGCTACATGCAACATTGCTCATTTTTATTTTTGAATCTTTAATAAAAAAAAAACATATTTGCTCTCACAGTGGGTGCTTTCCCAGCTATATTTAGCCATTGTTACTGGTAGCACAGCAGCCAGTGCAGACTGACATAGATGCATTGCTTGTGTGTGTGTGTGTGTGTGTGTGTGTGTGTGTGTGTGTGTGTGCGTGCGTGTGTGTGTGTGTGCGTGTGTGTGAGAGAGAGACAGAAGGGGGTAGTGAGGATGGGAAAACATTCCCTGTTAGTGCCACATAAACAGTCTGTCCTATGAGAACCACAACACTGTCCACATGCTGGTTTAACTCTTCAGACCATACAGTTACAACAACACTGTCCCACTGTCAGCCCAAACACAATAGTGCATAATACCAGTCAAGCTTTATGCACATTTACATTTGTTTAATGATTTACATATACTCTGTTTTAGTTTAACTTCTGTTAATTTTTTGGTTTCAATGGTGTTGTGATGTGATATATATATATATATATATATATATATATATATATATATGTGTGTGTTCTGAACGTGTGCTCTAACCAGTGTTGCCAAGTCTCACAAGACAAATAAGAAACCACAGCTTTAAAAACAAGCCAAATATTATTGTATTATTTATTATCATCAATATTATTTATTATCAATAAATAAGCGAAATACACGAATTACGCTACAGCACTTTTATTATTGCACTGATTGGCTATTAGCTGTGAGCAGTGTCAATCAATGTATTGGAAAATACAGCGACCATAAATGTAGAGAAACGAAGTTGTTTGTCAGATATTCCTAAAAAGCAACCATATTTTTTTCAAATAAGTAAAAAAAAAACAAAAAAAAAAACGTGACCAGTGTTTTTTTTTAAACTCGACTTTACGGGAAAAAAGCCCAAAGTTGCATATTATAAGCGGACTTTCCAACTCTGCCTGCAACTGCTATATTTGAAGTTTGAGCAGCGAGCTCATTGGCTACTGATACAGCAGGATCCCCAAGAGATTGCCCAATTAGAAATATTATGTTGTGACTGTGAGTGATTCCACAGGACTCAATAATTGGTTACAAAATCGTATGTAGACTTTCCTAATTTTTTTGGGCAATATGTAAATTCATGACCAATTTTTGAAAGCAGAATCCCAAATATATAATGCATTATTTTTAATAAAATTATATTTCTATTTCTCATATTTACACATTTTTGTGTTCAGAACACTTGCATCACAATTTCAACTTGACTTAAAACTACAAATAAATAAATACATTTTGAAATCTAAACATTTGAAGATCATTTTGTTTTACAGACAAAATGTTCAAATGATAAAAATGGTCTTTTTTGTTCAAGGACAATAAAATTAAATGTCACGTTAACTACCGATATATATATATATATACTTGTGCAGTAATGTAACATGTTTTAGCATAATTTTGGAGCAAAAACAAATAATATACTAGCAACTTGTTTACACACACTTATCAATTGTTAATTTATGTTGTACCACTTCATGTGCCCTTTCAGCAATTCTGCTTGTTTCCCCAACCTTTCCAAAATCTATTTGCACCAAATCAATAAACACATCCATTGTATCTCACCATTAAAAGTGCTCAGAAGAAGGTATAATGTTGTCCACGTCTCACTGGGTGATCAGATCATCGCTCTTGCTGTGTCTGTGTAGTCCTCCCAGTATGGATTCTTACTGGAGACTGTGTGATCCCGCCGGACAGAGCCGTGGCCCTGCCTGTCCCCTCCTCCCAGCCCTCCGATACTGCTTGGCCTCCGATCACTGAGGAATCCTTCTAAATCTCGACACAGGTGCTCTGTTAAGACAGGCATGTCCACTCATCCTGATTACAGGAGATTTGTGGATTAACATTAAGAAATGGCAGCTGCCAGTGAGACTGTGGTCGGAGTTGGCATATTTCAAATTAAAATAATGTTACACTTATAAAAAACATATAACAGTAAACTTTACAGATCATGTGTGTGCGGGGAATTGCATGATGTGTATTATGAACTTTGCTGCAGTTATTAAAATCACACTGCCATTGGTTTTCTGGCAGGTTGAATTGGATTGTTCGCCTGCTTGCGCCATGTCTTCAAAACACCCATGTCATGCCCTGAAATAGCTATGGATCAGAATATGGTAGAGTTTAGCCAATTAAAACGCGCTTAAGCATATTAGACAAGCCCAGGTAACACCTCGTGGCACATCTTACAGCAGGGTTCACTCATCTGGCAGCAGTCATGTGAAAAATCAGAGAGGGACTGAAACTGAAACTAATCTTACCAACTGTGATTAATCTGTACTAATCTATGGTTCCAAATTCCAATACCATAATTATTTCTTGGCCGACCAGCGAAGACACCTGTTTTTTTTTAGGCCTCATGAATCTGTAACTAATGAAGTGAAAATCTAGGCTAATCATTTTCATGCATGTCATCATGACATCTGTAATTAATAGTGCATTCAAGTTTTCCTAAGAGGTTCATATTTACAAATAGTAAAAAGCTCCAGTCGTAATTATTAAATAGTATTATTAAATAGTAAAAAGGAAGTCGTAATTATTACGTCAGGTGCGTTAAAGTCACTTTGGTGAACACTTCTAGAACAAATTTTGTAAATTAAATTGTTATAGGCCTGTTGTAATTGTAATTGTACAATAGGTATTTTGTACATGCAACATAGTTTTAGAGGAACTGAAAAAATAATTTAATTTATTTTAACAAAATTACCTGAAACTCAAAATAAAAGTTCAGAGTTTCTAAATTAAATTCTAAATAAAATAATTATGAATTTGTGGTGGTTTTCTTGTGCATTCATCTCATAAATAGCTACCATCTTCCCGACATGACTTCAATGCACAATTGTAATTCACTGTTATTGCACGTTTTGAAGAACTCAAAACTCCCAAATTATGATTCACTCAAAATAATGGGTCTCATTCACATACACATTTGTGCGTAAAATCTGCATACAAATCTTTTGCACAGAAATCGTAATTATTACGTTTGCACTATGTATTCTAAATTTAAGATAGCCTATTTAGAACCAACTGAAAAACATGTGTACAAAAACTCACATGGCCATCTAAATCACAGTGAATCTGACAGAGGTTTTGTCTGAGAACATTTCCTGCCCACATAAAAATGAGGCCCAAAGTGCTTTAAGTTCACTTCTCTGAAAGTTTATCATATTCAGAAAGCAGAAACTCTGAGAGGGCACGTATGCATCGTGGCATTGTGAACAACCACAACAGACTCAGTACAAGATTTCAAATTCAAAATGAGCTGACACATTTGTTGGTTAGCCACAAAATACATTTTGGACCATTTCATCAGGGCCTTGGAATGAAATATCAGAACAAAACAAACATGACTGACTGGTGTATTCCAGATGGGAACAATACAATTTTTGTGAAATTCATGGTTTTTCTATATAGTAGCCCGGTTGCAACTGAAAAATTAGAAAAATTATTTCAAATATCTGTAGTCAGAAACATGGAATTCATTGTGATGGAGAGGGAGGCCAAAATCACACACACACACACACACACACACACACACACACACACACACACACACACAATAAAACACAGATCTTAACCTCAATTCTTTGCACATGCAAAATCTTACTTCGAAAAGAATGTTAGCCTTTATAAATTCATATAACCCTGACTTTGTGAGTATGATAGTAACCCTGTATAAAATGTGTGAAGTGTTTGTTCAGTGCAAAGCAAAAAGCCAGCCAAACCTTGCAGTAGTTTAGAGCTAGATCTGGCCAGGTTGGCTGGATGAGTTGGATTCGAAGAGCAGGAGGAGAGGTGATCTGCGGCCACAGTTATTTTCTCAGACTGTTGACCTGAAGCACAAGAGTTATTACAGTGCAAAGACTCAGGAAATGAGACCGAGAAAGAGGAAGCTCAGCTGGCCTTAGAGATCATTCAGTGGGGTGCTTTTGCACGGACTCTCTCCACAAGAGGAGAGAGATTTAATAGAAAAGAAAACTGATATGTGTTGATTAAAACGTGTCCGTTAATATAAATATCACACAAATTATATATTGCAGTGTTTACTGTTTTCCATGTGCACTTTTAATTGTTTTTCCCCATTACGCCAGCAGAGGGCAGCAAACTGCACCGCTCCTGCATCTGTTAGGCTACTATTGGGTGTTGTTATGCTGTGTTTTCAGGGCAGTCCGTGTACCAACACAAAATCTATCACAATTAATCTGCTTAGTTTTGACATGCTTAAAGTACTTTTTTTAAACACATGTAACACATTTTAATGAAAAAAAAATATATAATAAAAAAAACTAAATCAGCATTTCTGAAGGATCATGAGACAATGAAGACTAGAGTAATGGCTGCTGAAAATTCAGCTTGCCATCATGAATAAGAGCTTCCCAAGTCAACATACACATGGAGACATCTATAATTAATGAGGGATGTGTGATTCGTCATTTTTGAACATTAGGCCTGCCGCCTACTGTGCAAGAAAGTCAGTGTTTCAGTAGGCTATATAGTCACAGTAAAAATTGTTTACATGCACACACATAGCTAGCTACCCTACGGTATATTCTAATTATGTGCAATTAGCATAATTGTAGTGTACTGTCATTATGTTCAAAGTAGGCCTACTGAATTTCCTTCTAATTATATGTTCTTGTAAACTTCTTATTTTAAGATCTGTTATCTTTATAGACCAGCAAAATCTAGAATGTGTCATTCTAGTTCTCTTTATTTCCTATCTGTGTGTGGCGTGTGTGTGCGTGTGAGAGTGTTTGTATGTATGAAGTATGTTTGCAGGATGACGGGCTGCTGAGCTCTAAGTATAGTCACAAAAGCAGTACTAAAGACAGCCATGTGCAGAGTTATTATTAGAGTCTTGGCAGGGTTTCCACAGCCCATCTTTACACGGTTTGGCTTCAGTTCGGAGGGGCTCAGTCGGATCACATTCTGCTTTCTGCCGTCCTTCTCTTCTTTCACTCTTGCTGTCCACGAACATATCACCGATATCTAGAATCTGTCTAGAGGAAAATCCGACCCAAATTTGTGTGTGGTTTGGGCTGCAATGAGAGAGAGAGAGAGAGAGAGAGAGAGAGAGAGAGAGAGAGAGAGAGAGAGAGAGAGAGAGAGAGAGAGAGAGAGAGAGAGAGAGAGAGAGAGAGAGAGAGAGAGAGAGAGAAAAAAAATAGACTAACATTTGTAATTGTATAAACGTGTGTTTTGACTCCAGGCCAGGTGAAGAGGGAATGAGCAGCAGACTCAGGAATGCGTATGTCTACTCTGCTCAGAAAAGCACACACATAGCCTATATATATATATATATATATATATATATATATGTGGGCCACCCAAGTATGCATATCATGACACGGTCATTCATCTAACCTGGAAAATATCGAGGCTAAAATAAGCATGGAACTTGCACAGGTTCTAGACAAGAAAACAAAAGATCCAATTAAAAAGCTTGTCTATAGTGGCTCAATTATATCAGTAATTATAGCAAGCATGCAAGCTCTCTAGCAGAAATGCATACAGTATGCTACTTCATTTAAATAAGTTAGTCTTTTTCAAGTTTCAGTTAAGTTTTAGTTTTCAGAATATATATACACTCACCGGCCACTTTATTAGGTACACCTGTCCAACTGCTCGTTAACACTTAATTTCTAAGCAGCCAATCACATGGCGGCAACTCAGTGCATTTAGGCATGTAGACATGGTCAAGACAATCTCCTGCAGTTCAAACCGAGCATCAGTATGGGGAAGAAAGTTGATTTGAGTGACTTTGAACGTGGCATGATTGTTGGTGCCAGAAGGGCTGGTCTGAGTATTTCAGAAACTGCTAATCTACTGGGATTTTCACGCACAACCATCTCTAGGGTTTACAGAGAATGGTCCGAAAAAGAAAAAACATCCAGTGAGCGGCAGTTCTGTGGGCGGAAATGCCTTGTTGATGCCAGAGGTCAGAGGAGAATGGCCAGACTGGTTCGAGCTGATAGAAGGGCAAATAACCACTCGTTACAACCGAGGTATGCAGCAAAGCATTTGTGAAGCCACAACACGCACAACCTTGAGGCGGATGGGCTACAACAGCAGAAGACTCCACCGGGTACCACTCATCTCCACTACAAATAGGAAAAAGAGGCTACAATTTGCAAGAGCTCACCAAAATTGAACAGTTGAAGACTGGAAAAATGTTGCCTGGTCTGATGAGTCTCGATTTCTGTTGAGACATTCAGATGTTAGAGTCAGAATTTGGCGTAAACAGAATGAGAACATGGAACCATCATGCCTTGTTACCACTGTGCAGGCTGGTGGTGGTGGTGTAATGGTGTGGGGGATGTTTTCCTGGCACACTTTAGGCTCCTTAGTGCCAATTGGGCATCGTTTAAATGCCACGGCCTACCTGAGCATTGTTTCTGACCATGTCCATCCCTTTATGGCCACCATGTACCCATCCTCTGATGGCTACTTCCACCATGTCACAAAGCTCTAATCATTTCAAATTGGTTTCTTGAACATGACAATGAGTTCACTGTACTAAAATGGCCTCCACAGTCACCAGATCTCAACCCAAAAGAGCATCTTTGGGATGTGGTGGAACGGGAGATTCGCATCATGGATGTGCAGCCGACAAATCTGCGGCAACTGTGTGATGCCATCATGTCAATATGGACCAAACTCCCTGAGGAATGCTTCCAGCACCTTGTTGAATCTATGCCACGAAGAATTGAGGCAGTTCTGAAGGCAAAAGGGGGTCCAACCCGTTACTAGCATGGGGTACCTAATAAAGTGGCCGGTGAGTGTATATATATATATATATTAAAATTTTTGTATTTTAGGGCTGCCAAATTTAATTGATCATATAAATATGTTTAAAGGTGTTAAAGTTCTCTGGGTTTCG